ACCGAAAGTTCTGCTGCAATTTGGGCGGTGTGGAGCGCGGGCGGGGAGGCGGGGGCGCGGAGGCGGGCGGGGAGCGGCGCGCGGGCGCTGCTGCTGCTGCTGCTGCCGCTGCTGCTGCTGCTGCTGCTGCAGCTGCTGCTGCTGCAGCAAGGCGAACTCACCAAAATGAAGTTCTCGCTGCGCTCCGGACGGGCCGAAGAAACCGCCGTCTGCGCGGGCGTGGTGCTGGTCGTCTCTGCCGCGCTGCCGAGGACCTCCGCTGGCTCCATCTTGAGGGGGTGGGGGTCCTTGGGAGAATAAAGTGGAAAGAAAGGAATTAGATTTTGTTGCACGGACTAAAGAGCTGCAACCCTTCAAACTGCAGCCGCCTGTCTGCGCCACGCGAAGCAGCATGCGGCTGCTGCTGCTGCTGCTGCTGCTGCGGCTGCTGCTGCGGCAACGACGCTCCCGCAGCCGCGGACGCTCCCCCGTCGCTTTCCTCCCCCGCCTCTTCCCCCAATATTCAACGCCTCCCTAAACACTTTCCAACAAATCCAACTCAAAAATATAAATGCTGCGCCACACAACTGCCGCGTCGCGCGATCGCAGCACCCGCTGGGGTGTACGTACACCGCAGAAGCCCCTCACGCGTTCGTGCGCAGCAAAGCAGCAACGCGCCCCTCTGTCTTCAGTTTTAATTAAGTTGTTCTTTTTAATTTTAAAAGTCTTTCAATTTGTATGTTTTCGCTTCTGTGTGAGCGCTTTCTAAGGGCCAGCTGCTGCGCCGGCGCCGCTGCCCGCTGCTGCTCCCGCGGCGCCCCGTGTGCTTCCCTTCCAGTTTGAGATTTCCCGTAGCTTTTTTTGCCCATTTATTCATTTATATTTCTTTTTTCCCATTTTAATGCAAACAGCAGACGCTGCCGCTTCCCTCAGCCCCTGCAGCACTCCCGGGGGCCGCATGCACTGCACAAATCCCACTTTTCTGCACTTTTCCCTTTTCCCGCTGCTTCTGCTGCTGCTTCTGCTGCTCCTTTTGCTGCAGTCCAGCCCGGCTAGCTGCTGAGGCTGGGACAGCGGGAGGCAGCTTTGCGTCTTGGCCTTGTGTGGCCTTTTTGTGTCTTCTAGTATATTGAATGCATGCAGAACAAACACACTGCAGTGCTCCACTTAACGCACTCCTGCATGCACCCAAATGCCTATTCTAGATCTCAACATCTTCTTTTTGCATGCGCAGTTTGAGCTGCATGCGTTTAGCCCGAAACTCTGCAGCGCAGTTCGCGCAGCTTTCCCTATAGAGCATTTAGGAAATAGCCTTTAAAGAAACTGCACGAAATTCCGTGCAAAAATGTCTTGCGCGCATGCATGCACTGCGCATGCATGCACTGCGCATGCAGCATGCATGCACTGCGCATGCAGCATGCATGCACTGCGCATGCAGCATGCATGCACTGCGCATGCATGCACTGAGCATGCATGCGCTGCAGCAACAAGGGGGCTGCTTCGCATGCGCAGCTTCTCGGGCCAGAGGCGCCTTTTGCTGCTGCTGCAGTCCCCAAGGACTCGTCTTGCAGCAGCAAAGATGCATGCATGCAATATGCTTTTATAGGGATACATACATATATATATACATATATATATATATATATATATATATATATATATATATATATATATATATATATATAT